CAAAGTATTTCTTCTCCTATGCCAAATCAAAATCGAGAACAACGTCCAGTATTGGGCCCCTACTTAAAAAAGATGGGTCCTACACAGATGACAGCAAGGAAATGAGTGAGATACTCAAGTCCAATATGACTCAGTTTTTAGCAAGCCGCTAACCAGACTGAGAGTCGAAGACCAAAATGAATTTTTTTATGAGAGAGCCACAAAATTTGACTAACACAAGCCTATCCGATGTTATCCTGACGCCAAATGACTTCGAACAGGCGATAAATGACATGCCATGCCTCTGCCCAGGGCCAGATCAATGGAACTCTGTGTTCATCAAGAACTGCAGAAGCCCCTATCACGGCCTTTTCCATCCTAAAGGAGAGGGAGCATGGACACGGGGGGTCGTCCCTCAGTTACTAAAAAACAACAGACATGCCCCACTCCACAAAGGGGGCAGTAAAGCAACAGCAAAGAACTACAGACCTAATAGCACTAAAAATCCCATATCATAAAAATCTTTTGAAAGGGGGTTCCTAAGAAAAGGGAAGATCCCACCCATCTATTAAAACCATCAGTTACACAACCCAGGGCAACAAAGGGTTTAGAACAGGTCGCTCCTGTCTGTCTCAACTACTGGATCACTACGACAAGGTCCTAAAAAGCACTAGAAGACAAAAAGAATGCAGATGTAATATATACAGACTTTGCAAAAGCCTTCGACAAAGTGTTTCCATGGGCGTATAGCGCAAAATGCGCGCCTAAAAGGAAAAAACAGGAAAAACGGTTTGAAGGATTTAATTTTTCCTAACAGAACACAGAGAGTAGTGTCAAAAGGGGTAAAGTCCGAGGGAGTACGGTGAAAGCTCTGTCCCCCAAAGGGACATATAGTCCCCTCTTGTTCCTCATCCCCATATCGACTGACAAGGTGTCAGCCACAGCACCGTGTCTTCCTTTGCAGATGACAACGAAATGCATGCAGTGTCTTCCATTGCAGGGCCCACTAGAAAGGACTGATTATCTGTGGCCCCTCTAAAAAACATGTACACCCTGAAGTCTACTCAACAGTCTTTATTACCAAACATAACCAACAAACTACGTCATTTCGCCCTACTTATCGTGTATACTTTTTTTCCTCTTTTTTTTAAAAAATAGTTTTACCTATAACAAAACCCCTTTTTTAACAAAGTTCAATAAAGGGCCCCCCTTATCATTTACACCTGGCACCCCCAAATTCCCTCCCACACCCTCTCAAAAAGTTTCCCCTACTTTGCATTAAAGCCCCTCCCAAATTACTCTCCCCTTTGGGTTCAAAGGTCTATACATTCATTAAATCTCCAAAATTCTTCTCTCTCCTCTGCATTCCTCCTTCCCCGGGTGCATATACGCTTTTAGACCCATTTTTCTCGCCCCAAACCCCTTTTACTTTAATCCACAAAATTCTTAAATTTTTCACTTCATTTCTCTTTTCTCCTTCCCAAAAATGATCTTTTTAACATTACTGCTACCCCCTTCCTTTCTCTAACTCTTCGATACCCCGATTTAATCCCATTTATTTCCCCCCATAAAACTCTCCTCCCCCCTTCAGCTTTGTTTGTTTTGGGCCGGAAAACATCCAACTTCTTTTCATTCAAAACACAGCAATCATCTGTTTTTGTCTCCCACACATCCAGCACATTTAAGCAACCAGTTTTATAAAGTTTTTCTTCTTTTTTTTTTAGTAATTGTATCAGGGAAGGGGTTACGCCATTGCCCCCGGGCATTTTAGTCGCCCATACACACGCAGGGCTTAGGGAGGAAAGTTCTTTTCCACTTCCCATGGACAATAGAGAAATAAAAAAAACAAGAGCTTTTAGAAAAAGGAAAAAAACCAGATGTATGTATAATATATAGCATGGCGGTCTATGAAGTGTGACCAAAGTGTAAGTAGGATAGCAAAAATTCCCGTTATCTTAGGGGTGTTTATGAGCGAAAAGAAACCAGCAATCCCACCATCTGCAAAACAGTTACAGGTTTTTGTTTACAGTCATTGGCAGGCGGTAGTACTTCCCTGGGTGGTTGCTGTCTACCAAACCTACTACCTATAAATATATATATTATATATGTATATGTATATATATATATATATATATACATATACATAATATATATATACATAATCACTGTCTTTGCAGAGGCGCTCAGATGCGACAGTTTAGAAGTCGCTCCAAACTGCCAGTATCCTAAACCCCTCCTTTAAAGTGCAGGCATTGTACTTCCCGTTTCCAGGACTCAAGTCCGGCTAACCGGTTTCCCTGAATCCCTTCACAAAATATTACCCTGTTCACACTCCAATAGCTCGTCAGGTGCCAAAAACCATTCGACTCTATTCACTCTCTCCTGTTATACTACACAAAGCACATTACAGAGAGTGAACACTGAAACAAGCTGCCTCTTTCCACTCTATATTTATCCAACCTATTTTTATGTTACCCAAGTAATAGCTTTTATATCCTTTTACTCATGTACGAATTAATTGTTCTACCATATTGTATTACTTTTGTCACTACCACTACTACTACCACTACCACTAGTGAACATCGAAATGGTACCTCACTAGTATTGCACCTCACTCTGAGCCTTTATATACCCTCTGTGTCCGTGTATTGTTTGTAATGGCTTGATAAAGCTCCTGGAGAGCGAAACGTTGCCACAATAAATGTCACATTAGTTGCACTTGTGTCCTTTTACTTTACATATTGTCGGTAATTCTACCAACTTTATTACACTCCTATTTAATACGCTCACGAACACTTGCTGGAAGTCCAAACCCCTCGCCCACAAAACTTCCTTTACTCCCGCCCTCCAACCTTTTCGGAGAGGACCCCTACCCTGCCTCCCTTCTCTTACAGATTTATACGCTCTCCAAGTCATTCTACTTTGTTCCATTCTTTCTAAATGACCAAACCACCTCAACAGCCCCTCTTCAGCCCTCTGACTAATACTTTTAGCAACTCCACACCTCCTAATTTCCACACTACGAATTCTCTGCATAATATTTACACCACACATCGCCCTTAGACAGGACATTTCCACTGTCTCCAGCTGCCTCCTCGCTGGAGCATTTATAACCCATGCTTCACACCTATGCAAGAGTGTTGGTACCTCTATACTCTCGTACATTCCCTTCTTTGCCTCCAAGGATAACGTTTTCTTGTCTCCACAGATACCTCAATGCACCACTCACCTTTTTTCCCTTCTTCAATTTTATGGTTAACCTCATCCTTCATAAACCCATCCGCTGACACGTCAACTCCCAAATATCTGAAAACATTCACGTCTTCCATACTCCTTCCTTTCAACGTGATATCCAATTTCTCTTTATCTACATCGTTTGATACCCTCATCACCTTACTCTTATCTATATTCACTTTCAACTTTCTACACCCTCCCAAACTCGTCCACTAGCCTTTGCAACTTTTCTTTAGAATCCCTTTAAAAGCACAGTATCATCAGCAAAAAGTAACTGTGCCAACTCCCATTTTGTATCTGATTCCCCATAATTTAATCTCATCCCTTTTCCCTTCACCCTAGCATTTACTTCTTTTACAACCCCATTTATAAATATGTTAAACAACCATGGTGACATTACACATCCCTGTCTATGACCTACTTTTGCCGGGAAGTAGTCTCCCTCTCTTCTACACACCCTAACCTGAGCCTCACTATCCTCATAGAAACTCTTTACAGCATTTAGTAACTTACTACATATTCCTTATACTTGCATCATCTGCCACATTGTTCCTCTATCCACTCTATCATATGCCTTTTCTAAATCCATAAATGTAATGAAAACTTCCCTACCTTTATCTAAATAATGTTTACATATATGCTTCTATTTAAACACCTGATCTACCCATCCTATCCCCTACCCATTCTAAATCCTCCTTGCTCATCTGCAGTCATGTTCTCTGTTTTACCTCTAATTCTTTCAACAATCACCCTACCATACACTTTACCTGGTATACTCAGTAAACTTCTTTCAACAAACCGGCTGTATCACACCGAGGCAGGGTGGCCCAAAAAGAAAAGCAAAAGTTTCTCTCTTTAAATATAGTAATTTATATAGGAGAAGGGGTTACTAGCCCCTTGCTCCTGGCATTTTAGTCGCCTCAGTAAACTTATTCCCCTATAATTTTTACAATCTCTTTTGTTCTCCTTCTCTTTATATAAAGAAATTATACATGTTCTCTGCCAATCTCTAGGTACCTTTCCCTCTTTCATACATTTATTAAACGGAAATACGAACCACTCCAACACTATATCTCCCCCTGCTTTTAACATTTCTGTCATGATCTCATCATTTCCATTTATTTCAACGAACCGGCAGTATCCCACCGAGGCAGGGTGACCTAAAAAGAAAAAACTTTCGTTTTTTTCTTTTTAGGTTGAAAGCTTTTCTTTCTAAATTTAGTAATTTATACAGGAGAAGGGGTTACTAGCCCCTTGCTCCCAGTATTTTAGTCGTCCCTTACGACACGCATGGCTTACGGAGGAAGAATACTTCTCCTCTTCCCCATGTATACATATTATGCAGAGAATTCGTAGTTTGGAGATTAAGAGAAAGTGCGGAGTTACTAAAAATATTATCCAGAGGGCTGAGGAGTTGTTGAGGGGGTTGGGTCATTTAGAGACGATGGAGCAAAATAGGATGGAAGATGTATAAATATGTAGTGGAAGGAAGACAGAGTAGGGGTCGTTCCAGGAAAAAATGGAGGAAGGGGGGGGGGGGGTAAAAGAGATTTGGTGTGCATGGGGCCTGGACTTACAACAGGCATGTTTGAGCATGTAGACAAAAGTGGAGACAAATGTT